TTTTCTATGCCTTATGGAAAAGGCCACCCACACACTGTGGCAGCAGCTGCTCCTATTAATTTAAAGCTATTACAAAAATTAAAATTAAACCCAATTACTTTGGCTGGTTTATAGCCGGGGAACGGCTTAGTCTGATTGTTCCCTCTGGTTATGGACAAAAACAATATTCCTACCTACAGGCAGCTGCCAGTGGAATACTAATGCATCTAGGGCCTGGCAGGGACAGATTCAGAATGCAGAGTCTAACTGCGTTTCTTACTAGAGAAAAATATCTTATCGTGGATCTGCAGAAATGCACCAACTTCTTACACTGTAAGTCACAATGAAGCTGATTTGTACTTAGAGGTAGGAAAGCAAAATGATGGTAGAAAGCTTAATGCTCAGATTTGCCATTTTGCATTTCCAGGCAGCTCACACTAAGAAATGTGCCCTGCTAATTGATACACAACTGCCTGGATTTCAGCGCTTCTGAATGGTTATTTAAAGGAGAACCACCCCAATTCTAAGTACAGCCACAGAGCGTAAAATACAAGCAACTAATTTCCAGCCTGTTTTTAGAAATGTATTTAGAGAAATGAAGCTTGATATTTTACATCATTTTGAAACAAATTCAGACTGCCTAGTCTTAAAGATAAACGCAAAATTCTTTCTGTCAAAGGAAGAAGGAAGCATAGAAATGAAGATTTTCTCTCTATTTTGACTCTCACGGTCCAGTGCCAGTCAAAGGCTTGAGCCAGTGGGTTTGAGTGTCTTCTCCTCCTATCTGACAAGGTAGCACTCTCAACCCAGCATATTTCTTACTCCAAGTGTGAATGTACACGTGCTTGTCTGTTCCTGTATGTTTGCTACATCGCAGTCTGGAGCCAGGACATTTGATCTGTTTTGGTAGCATGCAATAAGTTCAAACTTGTCAGTTTACAAAAAGAAAATTGGAGTCCTCATTCAGTCTCAAAAACCTGATAACTTCAGAGGCCCCAGGATTTTACTCTTTGCTGCTACAACAGGCAGTGAGGGGTATTACACATAACTGAGCTTTGAAAATTATATCCTGACTATGCTTATATTTTGAACATAATTCTAATTTCAACTCTAATAATTTTGATCTGAAAGGCAAACTTTATTATCTGCTCTGCTTTTTTTTCTCTGCTACCTTATTCCATTTGAAAATTGGGAGTTAATCAAGACTTTGGGGAACAAACACTGGCGGGTGGCAGGGGTGCTGGTGTGTGGCATCTGTTCTTTAAGTTTTAAGCACATAAGGGTGCTAATCAAATCCTTTTGTGGTACCACAACACAAATAATTAGAAAATAACAATCTTTGGAGTGCTTTCCCCCCCATTGCATGACCAAAGCAGGGAGCTCTTGCCCAGCCAAATTCCCAATGACTTTAATGAGCAGCCTCAACAGTTTTTGGACTGCTTTTAATATGGCACTCATGAAGTAATTATTCAGTAGACTTCAGAGTAAAATTATGATCTTTGGAGGAAAAACAAAAAGCTGCAGGTACTGTAAAAGATCAATGGCCAAAAGAAAAATTAAGTGATCTGATTTGCAGAGAAAAGCTCAAGTGAATCTGATTGCAATGTCGCGTTAGCTGTGGTGACACACTGTGGTGATCATTTTCAATTGCCATCAATTTGCAGATGGAGGGATACAACTTAACAATTTCACAAATTTCCAAGCTTGCGTATATAATTCAAAGGGGTGGGCCCGAGTCACAACCTCAGAGGAAATTATGCCTAAATTTTAAAGACATTTGAAGCACAAAACCTGATTCCGATTCAACTTTGGAAAATAACCTTCAGGTATTTATTGACACTACCCAAAATACTAGATCTAGCTACTCCTTCTGAGTGTTCAAATTTTATTCTTAAAGCTGGATGTCCCTATTTATTAACCGCAAGACATCCAACAAACTCTGGAGAAAACATAAGGAAGTTAATCATGCACTGCAAACTCCTCTTCTGGGAGACAGCCCTTTCAAATTGAAGGCCTTCCTGACTTGTTTCTCTCTTAGTCTAAGCCATTATTTTTTTCTTGCTTATTCTTGTTGACAAGTGGAGCTGACCATCTTCAAAATTCCTAGCTTACTTGTGACAAAATAAGTTTGTAGGGTTTTTTCTTGCACATAATTTTATATTTGATTCACAGAGCATGGAGTGACAGTGAATATGTCAGATGGTGTTAAATATTGTTTACAGATAACTGAATGGGTTTTGGCACAGCTAACTCCGTTTCAGACACTGCAAAA